GAAAAACCACCATAAAAGCAAAACGCCTATGTTCTTCCCATTTTTGGCGATTTCCTTTACTACATATCTTGTTTTCCGGGTTGTTGAACCCTCCTATGTGGCCGTATCTGTGGTATATGAAGCGTGGAGTACAAAAACCCTTTGCCAAATCCGGATTGTGGACTGTTCTGACTATCTTCAGTGAGTCTAAGAACCTGTGCACAGCTACAGTTCTCGGAGCAACCAAGTATTTTTGTCTTAAAGGTACCTCATTGTTTCCAATGTACCCGGCTATTTCCTCCAAGGTCGGGGTTAATTCAAAATCCGAGAAATGGAAGACGTTATGTGCCGGGTCCCAACATGTGACCAGTGCTCTGATGATATCTCCCCGAGGTACAATTTCTAACAAACTAGTAAGCCCTTTCAAATACTTTTTGACCTCGTCCTGTCCTTCTTTACCCAGATCGTTCCACCATAGACGCAACTCCAGAGGGATTTTAGTCATGATTGAGAAAGGTTCACTTTGAATTGTGCTCATCCTGCACATTTATTAAGGTGATTTAATCACTTATTTTGACCTAAAAAAATGGTTTTTTTTGCAAACTTTTCTTTATCTAGAAAAACAAGGACTAGGTTTTGCAGATACGGCCTTTCAGCACTTCTGAGAGGAAGATTTTAAGGCTGTGCCCGCTAACCATTTAAAAATGACTAAGGGTGGCTATTCTTGCAAAAATGGCCTTCCGACATCCTTTTGGGGACATTCGGCTTATTTTAGACAGGAATGGCATCACCCGACTTATTTATGACACAAAATTAAAATTTGGCATTTTTTGGCTATCTTTGGAAAAAGGGAGGTTGGACCCGATGAGGGTTGCCTACGTATCTCACATCCGGTGAGAATCAAACCGGCGTAGTTCGGTCAGATTTACTAAAATCAAAACTATTTTGAACCACAATTTTCTTTCCTTTTCCTTTTCCAAATATGTTTCTTTTTCTTTTTTTCATTTTTCAAAATTCCGGCAGCCTTTCGGCACTACTTGGACATTGGTTTTTCTAATATAGGTAATTAACTCTCCACACTGCTATTTTCTCTTTCCTCTCTTTTTTCATTATTGCCCAGATATTCAAAGCCGGTCAGCATGCGAGTCCAAAACAGATAAATGCACAAATAGGATGCATCAGGATGGTCCATTATTCCGGGTACACCTGTCCTAGACGGACCCAACCCCTGTGTTGAGTCCCCTAAGTCAAATGCACATGATGCAAACAAACGTCCTACTAGGGGTCCGGCATGAGGGCAAGTTATTCTAGGTTCAAAACCTGGGTATAGGTTCTAGACTGTGTACCCGAGCGGACAACTCGAGTCGAGGAGGGGGCTACGTACCGGGGACCCGCCAGATCATCCGGCTTAGTAACTTGTCCGGCCTCTTTCTTATTTCAAGGTATGACACTAACAGAATAGGGAGTCTCAACCAGTAAGCACATCCCCGGAGGTGAGAAGAGAAGGGTTTCGGCACAGTTTATATACAGTTCAGATAATATCAAAGCGGTAAAGCATTTAGCACATTTAGCATGGAACATGTTGAAAAATCAGATAAAGCCAAATATAACAATTGTACTAAGCTCGAATTCTTGAACACTGAATCGACATTCTGGGTTCGTATCCCCAGCAGAGTCGCCAGAGTTGTCACACCTCCTTTTTTACACATACCCCGAAGGATAAATGTATAAGGGAGTTTTTCCATTTAAAGTGACATTATTCGAAATGGGATTATTTATTTATTTTTCAGAGTCGTCACTTGGGATAGGATTGGCTTTTGGTGTCCCAAGTCACCGGTTTAAATTGAATCCCAAATCGAGGAAAATTTTGACTTCCAGTTGGAGTCTGCGAACCAGAAATTCTGAATAAGGAATTCTGTTGACCCGAGGGAAGATGTTAGGCACCCCCGGATCCCGTGGTTCTAGCACGGTCACTTAAATTATTATAAATGGCTAAAAATCTAATTTTTGTACATGTTTTAACTTATGTGCTTTTTAAATTCAAAACGCTTTTATTATTTATTTTTTAAAGAGTATTGCAACGTCATGAAAATTTATCTCAAACCACGTCGCACCAGTACGCCCGTGATTTTTTGGCACATTTCAACTTCGTTGAGATTTGGATTTGGGTCACATAAATGTGCACCCGAATTTAGGAAAGTAATATTATTAAACACGCGCCTAAAGCAACTACGCATATTATTATCTTTGTGGGAAGCCATGAAAATTCGCTAAATGGCGTGTCCCGAATTTCTAAAATATTTTAATAAAGTATTTAATGAGGGCCCCGTGATTTATGCATCTTTGTTTGGCGAGGCTCATCTCATCTTTATTTACAGGCCATCCTAGAGCGTACTACGATTTTCTATTTGAATTTGTCTCTAAAGAGTCCTAGTTAATTGATATTATTAATGCTATTATTTAAAGTGACCAAGGAATTCGGGCCTCAAGTTCAAGTCCACACTCGAACAAGAAGCAAACCTCTTAGTTCAAGCATGCTACTTAACTAGAAGGCCCAAAGCCTATATCATAAAATTGATCCCATAGCTCTAAAATGACTTTAAGTCTTCAGCATTCTTTTGGGCCTCCAAAGTCAGTCCAGTAAGGTGGAAATGATCAGATTTTCATATTTGAGCATTTAGACAACAAATTTTAGGCTCAAACTTATTCAAATAGGAAGCTGCTGGGTTTTGGCCTTCATGAACCCACAACCAAATATTGACCCATGTATGGATCTTCAACTGTTAATTTTAATTCACAGCAGCTTGGATAGAAGGCTGATTTAAATTCCAGATGTTGATATTTATCAAATAACTTCGAAACCAATTATGACATGGATATGCAACTCACACAATTAACCAAATGTGTTGAACTAGAGATTCCAAAGCCAAATCAGTTTAAATCAATACATTATAATGATTTTATGTATGAAGTCGGGTCTATAAATGAACAACGAAGTATCCAGTGTAATTTAAGCCAAAAAAAACGCCTGATTCTACACTAATAAGCATGCAGCCCAGTTTAAAATCAATTTTCTAATCGGTAACTTAACAAATCTGAATTAATTCATACCACAACTGATATTTGCTAACTATTCACAATAATTCGAATGTCCGATGATTAACTACAAATGAAGATCTAGAATCAGTTTCATTTTATCACCACGGCTAATGATTAAACTAATCACCAAAATGAAATTACTAAGGTTAATGACTGACTGAAAGTTCAACAATCCAACAGTCTATTAACAATCCAAAAAAAACAGTCCTAATTGTACAGTCCATAGTCTAAGTTAATACAAATCGAAGCTAAGCTATACTAAGCAAATACACATCAACTAGTATCTATTTTAACTACAAATATATAATAAACTAAATGAACACAGAGCTGGAAGCTGAGGCTTGAATACTTTTATTTCATCTTTCAATTCAAGGCTACATCAAAGTTAATTCAAGTGTGTACCTGGAATATAATGAAGCAGAAAAGAAGATCAGAGTCAGTAGCAATTCGAGTGACCAGCAGGAGCAAATAGCAATTCACAGCAGCAAATCAATTGACCCAGTACCAACTCCAAACAATAAATCACCCAAAAAACAGCTTGAATATACTCAATATAACTCGAACTTGACTCAGGAACACTGGAACTCCAAATCACATTTGAACTTCCACTTAATCTAAGAAAGAGATGCAATGTAACAGTATTTTTTTGAGTTTTTCTGCTGTATTTACTTTTTGTTTTTGGTTTTTGAAGGGATTATAATCTAAGAGAAATTTAAACTATAAGAGTTCATGATTTTGAAATTCTTTTTATTTGCAATTTAAATCTGGATGCTCTAGCTTGCAGGAGGAGTTTTTTGGGAATTTTAGATTCTGAAACTTTTTTGGGGATTTTTCAGATTGTTCAAAAACTTGTGAACTAAGGCACTAGGCATGCCTTTTATAGGCAGGAAAGGGGCAGGAAGGTTCTGGAATTCCTTCACTCATTTTCACTCCTTTTTATTTTCAGAATTTACTCATTAGTGCTAAAGTTTTGACTTGTTTCTCAAGTCACTGCACTAAACTACTGAAATTTACACTAAAGCCCTATTCTAGAAGAGTCTAGGGTGTTCCTAATCTGTTACTACAAGATTCTTTCTCTTTGAAGTGTCCAAATTGCCCTTGAACTAAGTCTAAAGTTACTACTCTATACTACTAACCCTAGTCCTCTTAAGCTTGGTCAAACGACCATGATTAATTACTCACCAATGCTGGAAATTTTCAGCTATATCCAAACAACTCTTAGAAATCCTAACAATTAACTAAAAGTTAAACTAAACTAATCATTAAAAGCGAAAATCAAAGAACAGGAACTAAACACTGTATTGACTAACAGAAAAATCACAACAAAATCCACAAAACCAAACAGAATCAACAAACGGAAAAAATATAATCAAATAATAAGAAGAAACTTACTGATTTAACCCTAGCTGAATTGACTTTGAATTTGGCCCCAAAAATAATATTATATGTTTGTTCTTTGCCAAAACAAACACATAATATCATTTTTTGGAACCATTTGAATACTGATAACCTTCGAGTCTTCGACTCAGACTTGGACTCAAACCCTTGATTCGGGATTCAAATAATTTTAACTAGCCTTGAAGGAATCCGGCTTAGGGTTTGGGAAGAGGGGGTTAAGGTGAGTCTAGGGTGTAGGTTTAGTTGGGTTTGGAGGCGGAGCCGCCACCAGAGAACAAAGGCGGCGGCTAGGGTTTTGAAATTTTGAGGAATTCCAGTGGGATTTGAGTGGGACAATGAAGGGATCGTGATGAGGAGGAAGAGAGGAGGTCTTGGTGTAAATTTGGAGGCCATTTGATGAGTTAGGGTTTTGGGTCAGGATCTTTTATTCAAGATTCGAAGAATTTGAAGGGATTCGAGGGACATGGAGTGCAGATTCGGAAAGAGGAGAAGGAGAGGAACAAGGGGTGTAATTTTGGTCGAAAATGGAGGCCGGCCGCCGCCGTGAGGCGATTTCCGGCGGCGGTTCCAGGCGGAGGAGGGTGGCGTTACGCTTCAGTGTTAGAGAGTGGGAGAGATGACCTTGGGGGGGGGGGAGGGGTAATCCGACATATATATATTAAAAAACCTAGGCAGTTCTCAATCGTTGGATCAAAAAAACCAACGACTGAGATTAGATTTAAACCAAACTACGTTGTTTTGATAAAGGGGGGGGGGGGGGCAGGACCGGGTATATGGCATTTTGGGCTTGGACTGTGGGTTTGTGAAGAGGTTTTGAGATTGGGCTGGTGAATTATTTAATCACTGGCCCAATGCCGGCCAGTCTATTTTTTCTCCCTTTTTTTTTTGATTTTTGTTAAATACAAAATTAAAAATAAAAAGACCTGATTTAATTCTAATACTAAACTAATTAATTTTCAAGAATTAACTAACTCCTAATTTCAAATAAACCTAAGACAAATTTGAAAATTAAAAGTAAGAATGCAAAAGGAACCATTTTTTGTTATTTTCTTTCATTTTTGTAATGTTAATAAACTAATAGAACTAAAAAAATATAAAATTGTGTCCTAAATGCAAATGTACTATTTTATGAATTATGCCAACTAAAAATGCACACAAAATGCAAACAAGCACAAAAATCATGCAATTAATTCCCTAAAATTCAAATAATAAAAGAAAAGTCCTAATTTTAAGAATTCTATAGGAATAATTCAAGCGAGGCAAAAATCACGTGCTCACACTTTCGTTCATTCTTATCTCATTCGAGGATGCCCACTAGACATGCAAGTATGGTTGTATGAGTGTTGCTCCTCCGTCAACACTGATATAGGCTACAAGGATTTCTAATTCAATCCCTCGCATGCTTAACTGGTCAGCTAGTAAGGGTCAGATTTGGTTAGCCGCAATTGAAGACACAATGATCAAGCCTGAATGGATGAAGGTAAACGTTTTTTATTTATGATTATACATTTACCTACAGAATATCTACAATTTGTCTACATATTCTGCCTTAATCAAGCTAATTTGTTTTTTTTCTCTCATTCAGTTCACCAGCATAAATGAATCGCCTGAAGAGCTTTCAGTTATGTCTTTGCCTGATAAAGTTGAGTACAAAATTGAAGAGGTTGAACATATTTCTGAGGATCCCAAAGTTGATGCTCCTCCATTGGAACCCAAACAATCAATTGGAAAAGAGGACAATGAGTCTATTCTTCGTAAAATAAGAAAGTTAAAAAGAGGTCTTGAGGAGGTAACATTTATTCCTAAACAGCATTGTGATGTATACATAATAGTGCATATGTTCTTTAATGTATGTTAAGACATATTCTGAAGTGAACTATGTATTTTTTTTTAATGTAGGTCGATGAAAAGATTGCAGATTTTAGGAAAGATGTCTTTGAAGAACTAGGTAGCCTTCGAGTGCTAATAAATGAGTCAGTCAACACTGTTTTGCAGGTGTTAAATAGTCGAAATGATCAAGTTGATGCAAAGGTAACATTTGAATTTTATTCATATTAACAAAACTATTTATGTCACCTCTAAAATATATATTCTAACTAATATAAAACTTTCAGTTTGCTGGGAGTTCAACCAAAAATACTGACCAACCAAAAGACAATAACAATCAGCAATTTCAGTTCACTAGTGGAGAACCAGTGCAGGCCAGCACCAGCAAAACAGGTATCTACAAAATACTCCACTTTATCTACAATTATCTATAGAATATGTACAAAATATCTACAAGTTATCTACAAAATATCTATAATTTGTCTACATTATATATACAAATAAATACAGCATATTGGCACAGCTATACAGATTTATGTAGATATTATAACACACCTACATATCTTCTTAAACTGTCAAGCCACTACTATCCAGTATGATTTAATATTTTAAATGAAAAAAACAGAACATATTGAAGGTGCACTTGGTGAAGAAAATCATCCAGCACGTGTTGATTTATATACACATTTTGAAGGCGCAGTTGATGAAGAGAATGCAGGTATGAAATTGTATTCAGAGATATTTGCTATATGTTTCAATATTTTTACCATTCTATTAAGCTAGATATACATGGTAACAATATTTTTACCATTCTATTAAGCTAGATATACATGGTGTTTCAGAGAGGGAAGATATGCATGCACAATCTCCAATTCACGGAGTGACAGTAGCAGCTCAAAGAGAACAACAGAATGAGGAAGATGACAATGTAGGTGAAGAGGCAGAGTATGTGAATGTAGGTGATTCAGAAGACTCCGGAGGTGAGAAGAAGGAGATTACACTTGATGATTTCGAGCTGCCTGATAACTTCTCCCAATTGGTTAAGCTCGGCGAGCCTATACAAGATGAAACAACACCCCTGCATCAAGGTAGAACAAGGCAGCCCGGAAAGCATTCCCGATCACCATTTCTCCCTTTATACAGTTCTAGTGGCAGCACCCTCGGTTGGACCTCAAATTTTTCACCTCAAGCACCCATTTACTAGTGTTATTGGTCAAGATGTAGATCCTGAGTTGTTGGATCAATTCAACAAGTGGTTATACCACGGTACCGACACAGGTTCAAAGAGGTTAGTTTGCACAATTTGACACTTTTATTCCAGTATTCATCTTTTACATATCCACTTCATTCAACAATTTTATTTTAATTTCTATTTGTTTATATAGGAGGAAGGCTCCGTATTCTATAAAGGACAACCAAATTAAGCCATGGTTAGATCTTGGAGTGGAAAAGGTTGACAAGAAGGAGTGGTTCTTTTCCCTGGCACACCCTGGACAAGTCCTTAATGACTCGGTAAGATTCATTGTATTTGATTTGTAGATACTTTGTAGATAATTTGTAAATAATTTGTATTCTGATTGTAGATGCTTTGTTTTATGTTTGAAATGTAATTGTAGTTATTTTGTAGTTTTGTGTAGATTATTTGAAGAAAACTTGTAGCATAAATGTAATCTATTTTTGTTGCAGCACATTAATGTTATAATGTATTACTTGAGGAAAAGAGGCAAGTATGGCCCCCACAATAAGACCAGGTTTACTACAACAGATTGTTTGTTCAAGACTAGGATTGAACAAATTTATGAAAAGTTCCAAAATTCTCCTCAAGAAAAGAAGTTTTCTGTTGTCAAACCCCAGGACATTGTAGCGAAATATATATTGGGATATAGACTACTCGCAAATGTTGCATGGAATGAAGTTGATTATGTCATCATGCCCGTCAACATTGTAGAAAAATTCCACTGGTTGTTGGTTGTTTTTGACATTGCAGACAGGCAACTTTATGTGTATGATTCCATGGTCTCTTCACGCAATCATCCTATTGTTGAATCTTGTGTCGACAAGTTTTCTGTTATTATCCCTTTGTATTTGTCATGCACTGGTTTTTATGGGAAGCGTAAAGATATCAACTTCAAGAATACAAAGGCATACATTGAGACTGTTGTTACCGACCCTCTTAATATTTAGTGGATCGTCGGAGAGATACCACAGCAAAAAGAAGGATCACTGTAACAAAAATCTTCTTTCTTTCTATACATTTAACCTTTTTTTTAATCGTTTGGTAAATATTGTCATTTTTTCATCTTTGCAGCGATTGTGGTGTATTTGTTGTTGCCTTTGCAGAGTATGCTAGTCTTGGAGACTTAATTCCGGAAGAAGACCTTTTTGATATTGACCAACATCGTAGACGCTATGGAGCGCTACTTTGGGACTATGCTAGAAAGAAGCAGGAGCATGGGGCAATTAGTGATAGTGAGGTGACAAGCAAATTGGCAAGGAGAAAATGTGCACCAGCTTTGAATGAGAAAACACGAGTCCATAGGAAGAAAAAGTAGTTGTAATATGGAACATGTAGTACAATTGTTTAGTTGATGCTAGTTTAGAAGAAAGATGGTAGACAAGTTTTTGAACAATATTGTTGTGTTTTAATTGTAGCAGACTTGCGCTACAATTATAGTAGCCTTTTTTTTTCTTATCCAGTATAGTAGTTCAAATGGAAACATTCTGTTGGTCTTTATTATTTTAGCATATAAAACCTTTCCAACTGAATTTTTATACAGTTATTCTGTCAACGCAAAAATATGTAGAGTCATTCTTTTAGCAAATAAAACCTGATCTACATTATTTTTAGCATATAACTTCTTTCTAGCTGAATTATAATCTAGTTATTATGTCAGCTCTAGCTATTGTAGGTGATTTGTATATAATTTGTATAAAATATTTAACAATGTGTTTTGTTGCTTTTATATTCATTTGTTGAATGTAAACAGTACTTGATCTACAATATTTTAGTATATAACTCCTTTCCTACTGATTTATAATGTAGATATTCTGTCAATTCCAGTTAATGTAACTTTTTTATAGTTGTTTTATAGATAAATTGCAAAAAAACATTAACTTCTATGTAAAGGATGCTAGAGATAGTAAAAAAGTGGTAGATTGTATTTATAGAAACCATTCATAAACAAATCACTCTATGAAAGTATTATCTCAATACAGAAAAACCCTAACTAACTACATTATGATCTTAAAAAACCTCAACAATTACACATCAAATTCTGTTATCCTGAACTCACCAACAATTTTTATGAAATATTCTATTAACTACATAAAATTTTATTTCTTTTTGGGTGCATTCTTGCAAGATCTTTTGTTATGCCCTTCTCCTCCGCAGTTGCCACATGAAACATTGTACTTCTTTGAATTTATTTCATCATATGTTTTGCATCTTTCTTTTTGAGGTCTTCCTTGCTGCCTCTTCCCTCCTGTAGATGGATTTACTACTTCTTCAGATATATGTTGTGGCACATTCCATTTGCTTTCATCAGGTAGGGGATTTACTGGTATTTCATAAGTACGCAATAGGTTCTTCCTTGTGNATCATCACTGTTTTCCTCACTATTTGAAATATTATTTGAACTCAGTCCATTGTCATTACACTGTTTCATGAACTCAGCTATATTTTCACTCAACCTCGAGTTTTAACTGATATTTGAACTATTGTTTGAGCTGAGCATTTTTGTTTCTTTACTGATGCCCGAGGGGCTTATGATTATTTTTGGACTGATTGAGGCCGAGGGCCATATGTGAGGATATGCTGAGTGATGTGAGGAGGCTTCCAGGCCTCGAGTGTATTGTGAGGAGGCTTTCAGGCCTCATGTTGATATGTACAGGCTTTCAGGCCTTATGTTGATATAGCGCTTGGGCTGTAGGAGCCCCTCCGAAGTCTGCACACCCACAGTGAGCGCGGGTACCCATTTAGAATTGGACAGTGGTAACAATGACACTGTCATTCGTGTTTTGGTCAGGTAACAATGGCTGACCGGTCAGGTAACAATGACTGACTAGTAACGAAATTCGTGCCCGATGGGCGAACTTTTATGTGTTCATCTTGCATACTTATTTGCATTATTACCTGCTATGCTGTGATATTTGTGCCCGAGGGGCGGATTTTCTGTGTTAATCAGCATTAACTATTTTGAACAGTTTCGTAATTATTGAAAGGACCATTTTCGAAAGAGATTTGAACTGAGCCGAAACATTTCTAAAGAATACTCTGATTTTACTGTTTTCTCGGAAATTGTACCCGGCTTCTGTACAGCCCGTTGGTTGCTTTACGTGATTTCTTGCTGCTCAGTTATTATTTACTTCTATTACTCACTGAGTTGGAAGTACTCACTTTACTCCCTGCACCTCGTGTGCAGTTGCAGGTATCGTTCACCCGGTAGCGGGTTATTAGCGGATTGAAGGTATTATTATTGTAGCTGAGCAAGGTGACCGCCAGCGTTCGCGGCACCGGATATTGTCTTTTGTTTTTCAGAAACTTTACTTGTATATATTTATTGGCCTGTAGTTGTGTTAAGGTTTTCTTTAGATGTTCGTGACTTGTGACACCCCGGTCGGGTTGTGTTGGGTTGTACGTACTGGTTATTATTGTCGTTAAGCTATATTCACCTATTCGTTTATGTTTAATAAATATTAAAGAGACGATTTGGGTTAGTTGGCTGGCCTTGTCTTCACGAGAGGTGCCATCACGATCGGGTTTGGAAATTGGGTCGTGACACCAAAAAAGGGCAACCCGGTGGGTTAAGCTATTGCTTATGTGCGGGGTCCAGGGAAGAGTCAGACCATATTGGCTCAATTATATGCAGTTTTACGTTGCATTTCTGCAAGAAGTTGTTTTCACATATTGAATTCGTAACCTTCTGGTTGCACGGCGACAACTCTTATAGTTGCAAACAAATTTAAAAAGTAGGAAAAAGATGTGGAATAGAGAACTCACTTGGCAAATGGAACATTTCCAGGCTTTATCAGTGGAGATGAGAAGTGGAGAGGAGTCAATTGTTGAGAGCTTAAACTTGCATGTATGTTAAGTTCACGTCGTGTTCAGATAACATATCAGTTTGTATGTCTTTTGGTGTGTAAATTGTCTTAGGATCAGCATATTTTGGAATAACCATGCTACCAACTACCATGGCAGTAGGTTTGTGTTGTATGAATGTACTGTCCATCAAAGAGCATGTGTGCAAGCTGTTGAATGTTCTAACCTTGAACATTGCAGAATCATTTATGCTAGTTGCCTTGAAGTGCCATGTACAATTTTCACCAATACATACCAACCAGTAGCTACAAAATAAAACCAATTTAAATACTGGTATAAAAAATGTAGATCACACAAAAAAAATAAAAACAGTTTTAGCATAAAAGATTATATACAACAATTTATATACAAAACAACTACAAACTATCCACAATGTTGTTAAACAATATCACCCAAAAAAACTGTGGAAGTAAAAGTTTACAAATAAACTACAAAACAAAAAAGAATAGCAAGTGCAATGTTCATACCTTCTGGCACTAGATCTTTTGACCCTGAATTGGAATTTGTGCATGACAGAATAGTGCTTCATTGCAGTTGCAATTGTTTGCTTGTCTTGGTATACTTGTCCTACTTCAATAATACTTGGCGTACTATCTGTTATTATTATACTTTCATATTCCTCTATAACGGGAGATGTTGGCATATCAAGTAGCTTTAGTGTTCCAGACGAACCTGCATGAAAATAAAGTTAAATTCTGTTATGAACAGTTTGTAGAAATTTTGTAGATAATTTGCCTTGAAATTCTATATTTCATATTAATTTTTCAAATGATATGTAGTTTTATTGTAGAATAAATGTAGAAATTTTGCAGATATTGTGAAAATCCATACTGATATATATATTTACTCTGACATGTAGTTTATTTGTAGATAAAATGTAGATAAAGTGTAGGACATTGATATACAACCAGAATTTGATTAAAAATATAACAGCACAAACCTGCAACTGTGTTCTCATTGGTGATACTCAATTCCATATTAAAATCACGAACAGTTATACATAGCGGGTATGATCCTAAGTTTTTGTTTTCCTTTTTCGTCTCCATATATACACGAACACCCATATCGTTCCTAATTTCCATTGGAGGACAATGCTCGTTGACAATGTATTTGATTTCTATAATATTTTCGAATTTATCGATCATTAATTGCTGTGCTATTGTAGAAATCAAAAGACTATAACTCGCATCCTCATCTACTACAATGCCATCAACCTGAAATTCTCTAAAGCTACCATAGCTATCCCAATTCCCATTCAGTTGTAGCATAATTGGGATTTTAGACATAATTGCATTTGTTGCAGAAGAATTTTAGAAGATTTAGTCGATTTTGATTTGTGAAATCAGAAAAAATGTTGAACACAGTGTATCGCAAAAGTAGAGTCGCTAAATTTTGAATCGAAACAGCCGATAATTATTAATGCGTGATTTGCGTTGTAAAATATCTGAAAGAATGTTTAATTCCCCAATATTAGCGCGCCTAAATAAGGAAGCCTACAGCTACAATGATTCCTTATTTAATGAATTGTCTATATTTTGTAGAAACTCTATTAGCATGGCGGGTAATATGTAAACTATGAACATATTTAGTAATATAGTTTCCTATATGGTATAGGAACGAAAATTTTCCAAAAATATAATAGTAATATTTTGAGCTAAAACCAGCTCTTGGGTTTTGGATTTTGAGTTTTGGGCTTTGGATTTTGGGAATTTGATAAAATAAGGATAAAATTTATGAATAAATATGTATTTTCCAAAAAAAACTAAATAAATTTTGGCAAAATCTATGGCCAAACGGTCCGTAGAGTCGACCTTTTTTTGCTTCCTACATCATCTTCCTCTTTTAGTTTTTACTGTGTTTCCTTTGATAGTTATGTCCCATCCTTCCTAGTATATGGTAAAACTAAGGCAAAATACATAGGTTACCCCCTGAACAATGGACCAAATTCCTGTTACACACTTTTTATGGACGAAAATTACCTTGCACACTCAACCTTTCTAGAGTGTCCCTAAGACACACCACTTATATCTTGACCAATTTTTTAAAACATGTGTAATATCACGCACCAATCATATAGCGACACGTGTCATTGACTTAAAATATAAAAAAGAAAAAGAAAAACAAACCCCACCCACGAAAAAGAAATTAAAAAAAAAAGCAAAAATGAGAAGGAACCCATCTCCTTCATCGTGCCTTCACAGTCCCACCACCACTACTCCTTCATCAACAATTCTCTTTCTCCATTAACATACACATATCCAAGAAAAAATCATGGATAGACTAAACATAACCCAGTTTTCACCGTCCCACCATCATTATTAACCTTCCACAACCTTCTCATCATCTCCATTGTCGTCGAGCACCAAAAGAACCAAACCTCCACCTTACAATTCGCAAAGAAAAAAGGAGAAGCCCTAATCAATTTGTCCTTACCTTTTGATGTATTTTATTTGAAATTTTTTGAGATATAATAAGTAGGTTTCTTCATGGCTGCCCCATTGAAAAGGGCAAAAAAAAAGAGAAGAATCTTTTACATTGTTCTTCCAATCTCACTTGAAGATTTCATTACAGATTCTTCTACAGTGTTTATAATTTCTTCTTGAATCGATTTTTTCATCTGTTACAATTTAAACAAATTTCTTCATTGAAAGTGGAAAAATGGATAGTAAACATCTATTATCTTCGATTTGAACTAGATTACTTTAGTAAAATAAAAAAAAAGATGATATTAGAAAATGACAAAAAAGAATCTATTTAACCGTTGGATAAGTTATGTTAAATCTGGCCCCTTCAAATAAAAAATTAGATATACAGCTTTTTACTGTTCAGACGCTTTATTTGGTTTGTAAAACACGCACCTGCCACGTAGACAAAGAGGTGTGTCTTAGGAACATTCTGGAAAAGGTTGAGTGTGTAAGGTGATTTTCGTCCATAAAAAGTGTGTAATAGGGATTTGATTCATAGTTCAGGGGGTAACTTATGTATTTCGCCTAAAACTTAACACGGTGAGGAAATGTTTAAGCAAACATGAAGTTCCTGTTGATTATCCAAACTAGAAGCTAGCTCAAGCTTCTGCTTCCATGGAGTCCTGCGAAAGGAGGAAGAGAGAATATTCTAGAAGAATAGAGAGAGACTAGATTTGGAAAAAGATATTCTAAGTTGTATTATCAATGATCACTGTAGCATACATATATACATCAAAAAATGAACATCTAATCTATATCTAATCTAACCACTTTACAGACATAACCATTTTACAATCAACTAGCCACTTTACAATATACTAACCCCTTTACATAATTAACCAATAATCTCAATAGCCCCCCTCAAGTTGGTGGTGTGGAGAACACTGCCAACTTGTGTAGAGCAGCTGAATGCCTAACTCCTGTCAGTGCCTTTGTTAGAACATCAGCCAGTTGATCTGTTGTTCCCACATGATGCAATGAGATCAGCCCTTCCTGCAGCTTACTTCGTACAAAGTGGCAATCAACTTCTATATGTTTAGTTCTCTCATGGAATACAGGGTTCCTGGCTATGTGCATAGCTGATTGGCTGTCACAAAACACAGCAATTGGCTTGGGAAAGGGTACTGTAAGTTCTACAAACAATCGACTGAGCCATACCAATTCCCCTACTACCTTTCTTAAGGCTCTATACTCTGCTTCTGCTGAGGAGAGAGAGATAGTATCTTGCTTCTTTGATTTCCAACTGATTGGACTGTTCCCCATCAACACAAGGTAGCCACTTACAGATTTTCTGGAATCTGGGCATGCTGCCCAATCTGAGTCACAATATGCCTTGATTGTGTAGTCTTGATCTTTAGATAAAAATATGCCTAAGGTGGGGTCCTTCTTCAGGTATCTGAGCAAATGAAAGGCTGCTGTCAAATGAGGTTTCCTGGGATCATCCATGAACTGTCTTAGGTGTTGGACACTGTAAGGTATATCCAATCTAGTATTGGTGAGAAAATTGAACTTTCCTATCAGTTTCCTGTAATAAGTGGGATCTGTCAATCTTTCACCTTCTTTGGCTTTGAGCTTCACAGTAGGGTCCAATGGAGAGCTGAAGCTGCTGTAGTCTACACAGTGATACTCTTTTAACAAGTCAAGAGTGAATTTTCTTTGGGAGACTATTACACCATCATCTTTGTAGAGAATTTCCAAACCTAAGAAATAGTGTAGTCTCCCCAAATCCTTTATTTTGAAACTATTGTTCAAGAATGTTTTCAAGTCTGTAATTTCCACAATGTCAGTTCCTGTGACTACAATGTCATCGACATACACTGCTATATAGACAGTGGACTCTCCAGTCTTCTTACAAAACAAGGAGTAGTCATACATTGAATGTGCATAGCCCCTTGAGCATAGGGCTTCAGTTAGTTTAGCATACCACTGTCTACTTGCCTGCTTGAGGCCATAGAGGGATTTGTTAAGTTTGCAAACTAAATTTGGGTTGTCAACTGCCAAGCCCTGTGGTACCTCCATGTACACTTCTTCATTCAAATCTCCATGTAAGAATGTATTATTTACATCCAGTTGTGACATGTACCACCCTTTCTTCACAGCTATAGCTATTAATGACCTCACAGTTGTCATCTTAACTACAGGGGAGAAAGTTTCTGTGTAATCAATTCCAGCTTGTTGGGTGTATCCTTTTGCTACTAGCCTGGCTTTAAGTCTCTCTACACTACCATCTGCCTTGTGTTTTATTTTATATACCCACTTACACCCTATGGCTTTCTTTCCAGCAGGTAAGGGAACTAAGTCCCAAGTGTGATTGGCATGCAATGCCTCAAATTCTTGGGTCATGGCTGTTTGCCAAGCAGGGCTCACAGCTGCCTCCTCATAAGATGAGGGTTCATTGTTACTGCAGATGTCTCTCACAAGACTTTGACTTTCAAGGTTCAGGGCATCATGGGTGATATGGTGGCAATTGGAGAATGATGCACTAAGGGAAAAGGGTGCAGCAATGCTATTGGATGCAACAGAAGATGGTGAAACAGCAGAGGATGGTGATTTTAGCATAGGAAGTGAATGCAGGTAGTCCTGCAAGTATGCAGGTGTTTTATGTGGTCTTTGTGATTTTCTTAGGATAACAGGAGTATTAACAGGAGTATTAACAGGATGGTGAACTACTGGTGATGGGATGTGATTTGGGAGTTGAGATATATCATTATCTGGGAAGTAACAGGATGGACTCTCAGAGTGGTTTTCTGGTTCTAGGTGCTGAGATGGGTCATGTGTAACACTAGGGCCATTATCACTTTCATCAGCAAAATCAGTACCTTCTTGAGTTTTATCACTGGATGGAACATCAGTAAGGATAGAGGGAAAGGAAGAATTATCAGGGGATAAAGCAAAAGGGAACACACTTTCAATAAAGATAACATCTCTAGATACAGATATCCTTTTTGTGGCAAGACTCAAGACCTTGTACCCGTTAACTCCATGGGGATAGCCAATGAATATATGAGGAGATGTTCTAGGTTCAAACTTATCTCTGTGTACTTTTGGTACAGTTGGGTAACAAAGTCATCCAAAACTCCTCATATGGGAGTATGTTGGTCTTTTATTATAAAGTAGTTCAAAGGGAGATTTAGGGTGACTGTGAGCAGAAGGTAGTTTGTTTATAATATATGTTGCACATAAAATGCATTCCCCCCAGTATTTTGTAGGCAGTTTTGATTGGAATAGAAGTGCCCTGGCAGTTTCTAGGAGATATTTATGTTTTCTCTCCACTATGCCATTCTGTTGGGGTGTATAAGGGCAATTCCTTTGATGGATTATGCCCTTAGAATTGAAAAACATGTTTGCCTCTGTGTTGGTAAACTCTGACCCATTGTCAAATCTGATTATCTTTATTTTTGTATTAAACTGGGTTTCAACCATAGAGACAAATGTTTTCAAGACTTGCAATGCATTGCTTTTGGATGAAAGAAGGTTGGTCCAAGTGGACCTATTATAGTCATCCACTAATGTAAAGAAGTACTTGTAGTTATCATGGATTGTCACATGGTAGGGTCCCCACAAGTCTATATGCAGAACTTGGAATATTTTTGTGGAAAAATGTGTTTTCTGGGGAAAAGGTAATCTACCTTGTCTAGCCATTGGACAAATAGAGCAAAGAAAAGGCTGCTTTGGGGAAAAGGAAACTGGGATAGAGGTAACCCTCTCATTTTGGCAAAGGGTACATGCCCAAGTCTATTGTGCCACAAAACATTAGGATCAGAAAATACTACAAAAGATTTCAGACTAGCATTTGTATTATTCAAACATGAAACATTTACATGTTGAGGGAAAGATGCACACTTATTTGTGGACAATGAGCTATGGACATGTGAATTAGTATGACAGTGTGAGTTGTGTGTGCAAAAAGAACTGTTGACAAAGGAACCTGAATACTTGTTTCTCAGACATTTTGGGCAGAGAAGATATAGCCCATCACAAGCTTTACCAATCTCCAGAGGCCTCTTCATTGAAGGGGCCTGCAGAACACAGAGGTTGTTAGTAAAAGCTACTAGGCTTCTAGGATTCACACTAGTTAGACCATGAATGGAAATGAGATTGTATCTGAAAGAAGGCACAAACATTACTTCATGCAAAGTGATATCAGGCACAAGAGTCACACTACCAATCTCAGTTACTTTCACTTTGTATCCATTTGGTAAAACAACTAGGAGAGGATAAGGTAATGTTATGATATTGGTCAGTAGGGTTTTATTGAAAGTCATATGGTTTGATGCCCCTGAATCCAGAATCCAAGACTCACTCTTGTTTTTGAGACACTGACATGACAATTTACCAAAATCTATAGAGGAAGTGCAGACTATTATACCTGCGAAGTTCACAGCTCCAGTGATAGAATTGATGGCATTTGCATTGTCTCCTCCATTATTAGCTTGAAAATGTTGAAGTAAATTCAGAATTTGTCCATAATGCTCCTTTGACAGGCTGACATTTTGGTCTGTGTTCAAGTCACATTGTGCTTCTCCTTTGTTGGATACCATTTCTGAAGAATGATCACCATGCACATTGGCTACTATTCTCTTTCCTTTGCTGAAGTTCTGATTGCGATTAAAACTCTGAAAACTCTGGTTCTGGTTGAATTGTTGATTTGGATTGTAACTTTGATTGCGAGAGTGTCCAAAATTCTCAGGTTAGCCGTGTAGTTTGAAGCATTTGTCTTTGGTGTGCCCTGGCTTCTTGCAATAGTCACACATAGGTCTTCCCCTTCCTTGTCCAGTATGATTATTATTATTGGGTGAGTAGTTGGTTCTATAGCCACTAGGTCTGGAACTAGTAACATTCATGGAGGTTGATTCAACAAACAGCTGGGTATGTGGTTTGATTTCCCTTTGCTTTTCATCTTGTATTAGGAGAGAAAAAGCTTGAGAAAGGTTAGGAAGTGGGTTCATCATGAGGATGCTACCTTGGATTACAGTGTAGGTTTCATTTAGCCCCATGAGAAACTGTATTAAACGCCTATCCTGTTCAGCTTTGTAAAAATTTTCCTTTGCTCCACAGGTGCAACTACATGTGCATTGTGACTTCTTGCTCAAAGTGCTCAATTCTTCCCAGAGCTTCTTCAGTTTGGTATAATAGCTAGTAATGTCGAGAGTCTCCTGAGATGTATCATTTATTTCCTTCTGTATTTGATATAATCTGGCTCCATTCGTCTGCTCATACCTATCATCCAATTCGATCCATAACTCCATGGCATCATTTGCGTATTCAACACTGTCTGCTATTTCTTTTGACAGGGAATTAAGGATCCAGGAAGTCACCATGTCATCACAACGTTCCCACTGACGGAATGTGGGTGATTGAGGATCTGGACGCTTACATTCACCGTTGATGAACCCTAATTTGTTCTTCACTGATAGTCCTGTCACACCTCCCTTTTTTCTACTACACCCCGTAAAAGGTATAATAAAGGGAGTTTTTCCAATTAAAGGACAATCGAAACGGGATTCATTTTATTAAGAGATTCAGAGTCGCCACTTGGGAGATTTATGGTGTCCCAAATCACCGGTTCGAATCTCGAATCGAGGAAAGGGTTTGACTCTGTTTAACAGTCGCGAACCAGAAATCCGGGTAAGGAATTCTGTTAACCCGGGAGAAGGGGTTAGGCACTCCCGGGTTCCGTGGTTCTAGCACGGTCGCTCAACTGCTATATTTAGCTAAAGTCTGATTTTAATACATGTTATCCTATTGTGCAATTTTACAATTATTTAACCGCTTTTAATTAAATTTTTTAAGAAAGTGAACGTCGTTCAAAAACGTGTTTTTGGATCACGTCACATGAAATGCACCCGTATCCTCGACACATTTTTATTCAACGTTTTGGGATTTGGATTTGGGTTGCATGAAATGCACACCCGTATTTAGGAAAGTAAGATTATTAAAAGCGCGCCTAAAGCGACTAACGTGTTATTATCTTTGCGGGAGGCCGTGAAATTCGCTAAACGGCACGTCCCAAATTTCTAAAATATTTTTAATAAAGCATTTAATGAGGGCCCCACAATTTATGCATTTTTGTTCGGCGAGGCTCGTCTCACTTTTTATTTAAAGGTCTATCCAAAAGCAATCTATAATTTTCTATATTTGCCTCAAAAAATGAAGAAAGAGTCCTAGTCAATTGATATTAAAAATTCCGGGCCTCGAGTTCAGGTCCGGATCCAAACAAAAGGGATAACCTCTTAATTTGAACCCGCTACCTAACTTGAAAGCCCAAACGTATGTTATACTAAACTATGAATTGAGACCTTCAAGCCAGGCCCAAATTAATGGGCTAAGCGAGTTTGCCTTTGAACAATTGCAGCTGACAGGCCTCGATGCCGGCCCTTTAAAAGGGTTATCTGGGCCAGGCGCAAACAGGAGATAGGCCCAAGCAGGAGATAGGCCCAAGCGGTTGTGGTGCTTTAAACCCATATCGAGCCCACATGCAGCGTTTATTATTGATACATTAATTAATTCTAAAACAAGGAATTCAACATAACTAACTACACCTTGGTTGTGGAATTAATCCAAAACAGCTTAAACAATAGTTAATTGACAAGGCTTACGAACTAGTTTCGAGATGACTGAAGCGTTTACCATAATCGCTTTTGATTCCTAAGAGCTCACATTTATTGTTACTAACCACAAATATTATAACTTCAGGATTACACTACCAATTATTAACATAAACGGAGATCATGTTTAATACAACTGACCTGTGCTACTCACCTTCAACAATTGAGTGCACAAGTGTTAACCACAAAGAAGGATCTATTAATCAATTTCCAAAATTCAAACTACTTACTAACATTGACTATTAAACTAGTCAATGAAATGAAACTATATTATGATGATCATCCATTTTAAACACGATGCTAAAATGAAACCAGATCTAAACTATACTNCTTGGATTTGCAAATACGGCCTTTCAGCACTTCTGAGAGGAAGATTTTAAGGTTGTGCCCGCAAACCATGTAAAAAATGACTCAGGGTGACTGTTCTTGCAAAAACAGCCTTCCGGCGTCCTTTTAGGGACATTTGGCTTAGTTTAGACAAGAATGGCATCACCCGACTTATTTATGACAAAAAATTAAATTTGACCTTTTTTGGCTATTTTTGCAAAAAGGGAGGTTGGACCCAATGAGGGTTGCCTACGTATCTCACATTCGGTGAGAATCAAACTGGCGTAGTTCGGGCAAATAAACCTAACTATTTTTTAGAAATAAGATTCTTTTGTTTTGTTGGCAAATACATTATTTCTGAAAGCAAGATTCTTTTTTTTTATATTTCCTTGTTCAGTGGAAAATAAACAAACTAATTTGAAAATAAAACCCCCCCTTTTTTTTTTCTTTTCCATTGGTAAACTAAAGAAAAACTACTTTTCTTCTTTTTCTTTCATTTTCAAAAATCCGGCAGCATTTCGGCACTACTTGGGCATTGGTTTTTCTAGTAATTAACTCTCTACACTGCTATTTTCTTTTTTTTCTTTTTGTTTTTTTCCAAATTTTCCCAGATATTCAAAGCCGGTCAGCATGCGAGTCCAAAACAGATAAATGCACAAGTAGGATGCATCAGGATGGTCCATTATTTCGGGTACACCTGTCCTAGACGGACCCAACCCCTGTGTTGAGTCCCCTAAGTCAAATGCACATGATGCAAACAAGCGTCCTACTAGGGATCCGGCATGAGGTTATTGTTCTTCTAGGTTTAAACCCTAGGTTTATTGGTCTAGACCTGGCTTACCCGAGCGGACAACTCGGGCCGAGGGGGAGGCAGCGTACCGGGGATACAGAAGCTCCGCCGGCTTAGCAACTTATCCAAACCTCGTTCTAAATGGGAAAAGACTCTAAACAGAAGAGAAGCTACACGAAGTGCACCCTTCTCCATGATGTAGAAGACTCAGAGAGAGGAAGGGATTCGCAACAGTTTATTTATACAATTCAACCAAATATCAAAGCGGTAAAACAATTAGCACACAAGGCATGAAACATGTAGGAAAATCAGATAAAGCCAAATATAACAATTTAACTGAGCTCGAATTCTTGAACCCTGAACCGAAATTCTGGGTTCTCGTCCCCAGCAGAGTCGCCAGAGCTGTCACACCTCCATTTTTTCTACTACACCCCGTAAAAGGTATAATAAAGGGAGTTTTTCCAATTAAAGGACAATTGAAACGGGATTCATTTTATTAAGAGATTCAGAGTCGCCAGTTGGGAGATTTATGGTGTCCCAAGTCACCGGTTCGAATCCCGAATCGAGAAAAGGGTTTGACTTTGTTTAACAGTCGCGAACCAGAAATCCGAATAAGGAATTCTGTTAACCCGGGAGAAGGGGTTAGGCACTCCCGGTTCCGTAGTTCTAGCACGGTCGCTCAACTGCTATATTTAGCTAAAGTCTGATTTTAATACATGTTATCCTATTGTGCAATTTTAGAATTATTTAACCGCTTTTAATTAAATTTTATAAGAAATTGAACGTCGTTCAAAAACGTGTTTTTGGATCACGTCACATGAAATGCACCCGTATCCTCGACACATTTTTATTCAACGTTTTGGGATTTGGATTTGGGTTGCATGAAATGCACACCCGTATTTAGGAAAGTAAGATTATTAAAAAGCACGCCTAAAGCGACTAACGTGTTATTATCTTTGCGGGAGGCCGTGAAGCTCGCTAAACGGCACGTCCCGAATTCTAAGTATTTTAATATAAATTTTTAAAGAGGGGCCACGCAATTTATGAATTTCGTTTGGCGTGGCGCACCTCGTTTTATTTAAAGGCCACCCTAAATAGACTATTATTTTCTAGTATGGAATGTCTCTAAAGGGCCTTAATTGATTAACAATATGGATTGCTATTAGTTAAAGTAATTGAGGACTTTGGGCCTCAAGTTCAAGTCCACACTTGAACAAGAGGCAGACCTCTTAACTCAAGCATGCTACTTAACTAGAAGGCCCAAACCCTACCTTTAATTCAAAATCTCACACCCATTACTCATTAGCACAAAACAACAATATACTGTGGAAATCCAATACAGCAAACGAAATTCGGTCAATTTAACCAAAGGTTAGTAGCTCATTAATTAATAGATCAATTCAACCCAAATTTATCAAACTCGCGTTGCACCCAACTGAACAAATGAAGCTAACAGAATTCTTATAACCAATTGATTTCATCTTAATATGACCAAACGACATACTAGCGCACGATCAAACGTCCTTTAATTCAAAAAACGAAATGCACTTTCAAGTAAACCCACAACTAGACATGGAATCAAAATTCACATAGGCACAAGTACTTAATGAAATAATCATTCAAACACAATTAGAATCAAGCTAAGAAGACATGGTTGCACAGAACGCAACTTCATTATTGCCGAATTTGGAATTTTAGAACTTTGCAATTTAACAAATGGACGGAACACCACTAGCACAAATTGCTCTTCAACTAGTAAGAAGAAACTCTAATTTGTTTACATGTCAAGTTTCAGCAGCTCAAACTTGATGGAAGAAAATGGACAGCGATAACCATAGACTGGAACCAGCGTACGGCAACCTCCATACGACTCAAACTCACAAATGACTCCAGACTTCAGTTAAACATCCATGTTTCCAAAACTAAGAATCAAATCAAGGACGAAGAAGATGAAACATTTTTGTACTATTTTTTCGACTTTCTGAAATCCCAAACCCGACTTACGCTCGTTCCCTTACTCTGTTCCTGTGCGTGACTGTGTGTGTGCTCGATCTGATGGGGTTTGCTGGTTTTTTGGTGAGTTTTGTGATGAGGGAGCGGCTGGCGACTGTGAGTAGGGGTGTGTGTTCAACGGTTGGTCGTGAATGGTCGACCAGACCCACCGGTGGTTATGGAGTTCAACCTTCTGCTTCGGAGATGGTCATAAGGATGTGGCTATGGAGGAATTGAGGGTGGTTCTTTGGCGTGGAGGGGTATGTTGGTGTTTTGGTCGATGAAGAGAGCAGGGGTCGTTTGGGGTGTTTTCCGGCGGGGTGTTCTCGGATGGGGGGTGACGAAGGAGATGATGTCGCAGGGGGTGGGGTCTCGTTACTGGAGCAGCTTCTTCAGTGTATTTTTTTGTGTGTATTTCTCGTCTGTTGAAGGAAATCAAAACGAGGGGGGGTGCTTGGGGAGAAGACGAGATACAGGGGGGTGAGGTCATGAATTGTGGCTGCTCCTTTTTGTGCCGAAAAAATGTCCCCCCTTTAAGTTAGGTCTCTAGGTTTATTTGAGAAGAAGGGTTTGGGTGTTGGGTCGGGTCGGGTCGACCCGGTTT